GAACCCTTCTGCTTTTTATAGTGATCATTCTAGCCTCATTATGAGTCCATAGACATTACACACCGAGGGTAGGAGAGGAAGAAAGGGAAGCTGGTTGGGCCACAAAAGGATCCCTTATGCTCAGTTTCCAACTGCATTGAAAATCCTCACGTTCCCTACCACTCTCTGCATACTCCCAGAAACATACACAACAGAGCATATATATTTAATATCAGAGACTCTTCACAACAGTGGTTGTCAAGGATAGACCCTCCTCAGAGGCCAACCCACTTCTAATAGTCTTTTTGCTTCATTTACAAATACAAATATTAAAAACAAAATACATTCAGACAAAAATTCAAGTTGCACAGAAATGAATAAAAGAAAAAAGACAAAAGGCTTCTGTACTTTGGGTAAGGCACCAGGGATGGGGGAAGGGTCAGGTCTGGGAGATCCACACATTAATTAGTAGGTAATAAAACCAGTTATTTTGCCTTATGATGCTGCTGATTCAACACCCATCTGGCCCTGCTTTGGCACTAACATCCTTTAATCCCTCCCTTTCAGAATCTACCCCAATTTCCTGTCACCACCTCATCCCCTCTAATTTAAGGGTGCAATTCTTCACCCTTCCTTCCAATTCTAGAATTTTTAATTTAGTCCTTAGCACTACAGCGATCTTGTTTTCTAATTCTTTGCAAATAAGCTTAAATTGGGCCCAATAGCAATACAGGTTTTCACAGTCTACTGTGGCAACCTGACGCTGCTCGGAACTTGTTTCCTTGGGAAAATCCTTTCTGTTTTTGACATGAACACTAGGAGATGCTTACTTGTAAGGGGGCGCCTCTGCAATCTTAATCTCTATGCTGCCAGAAAGAGCACACTCCTTGTCCTGCCTGCCTTGTGAGCAGGAGGCTTTGTGAGCAGTGACCCTAGGGCCTGCCTGGGTTCCAATCCTGGCGCTGATGTTGCTAAGTAGGTGAAGTCAGGAAAGGTATTCAACCTCAATGAGCTAACAGACAGTATGAAAATGCTTAGAGTTGCTGTAGAGTAAAAGATCTGGGCGAGGTCAGTGTAGAAAGATATTTGACTCCAGTTCTTGGGGCCACAGACCCCTTTGAAGTTAGTGAAAACCATACATCCTCTTCCCAGAAAAGTGCACACAAGTAAACCTCTGCAGTTTCAGGTACACTGACCCCTGAAGCCCACACACATTCCGGAGGGTCAAGGACCCCTAATTCCAGCCCTCCCTGCAGCGGCTTGAGAAGTGCATGGGACAGAACTCTGAGGCGATTCTACAAGTATCACGTTCCCTCACACGGAACTACTGAGCAGGTTCCTCTCCCCTTGCTTGGGTTCCGCTTTTGGCAGAAACGTTACACCTCTCTTCCCCAAAGCCCTTTTGACCCTTGCCAGTTTTTCTCTTGCTTCAGTCTAAATCCTCCCTGAGTCCCCTTAAGATAATCTCTGTGTGCAACACTGCTCCCATACCTTTTTGAAAATTATTTGGATCCTTTTCAAAAGCTCTGATGGTCCATCTCACCTTTACTCCTTAGGAAAGTCAGACCAGAACAGGGATTAATATCCACCTGGCCACCACTAAGGCAACACAGGTGTGGGTGCTAGGAAGCCCAGGTCCTTGCCCTCAAGGGGCATAGAGACAGCAAACAGCAATAAAAGCTACTGATCAGAAAAGCCAAGAAACTTGTGAGATTACCTAATTCCCTCATTACTTGCCTGAGAAGTGACTTGCCTGAGGTCATTTGACTACTTCACTCCCAAACTGAGAAACTCCCAGTTCAGTACTTCGAGTCTACCAGTGCTTCCCAGAGATGATCTTGCACAGGAATCTTGTTAAAATACAGATTCAGCAAATCTGCTCAGGGGCCTGAGATTCTGCATTTTTAAAAAGTTCTCAGGGAATGCTGATGCTGCTGGTCCATGGACCACACATGAAGCAGCTGGGTTTACATTAAGGTTAACAAGAACAATACAACCTGCTTAAAGCCCCCTCCTCACCCCCATCCCTGCCCTTCAGGTGGCTGTATAAATGGCATTTCTTTAGGAAAGAATCCCTTCCCCCCTCCTCCTTGATTATTTGTTCCTCTGCCTCTGAACTTTCTCCTTTGAAGCATTTATAACAACTGTAATTAAAAAGTATTTGTGTAATTATTAGTTTAATGTCTGCCTCCCAGCGAGACTGCAAGCTCCACGAGGACGGGACCAGCACAGGATCTAGTAAATCACTGACTGTCAGTGAATGAGTAGTTGCTGTGGTCTGCAACAGGCTGGGCCAGCATTCTAGAAAAGGAAGGTAAGATTTACACACATGCAAAACACCTTCTGGAAACCTCAAGGCCAACAGTGACATAGCTGTATGATTCCCACCAGTTTCAAATATATGCCAACTGACCTGGGGCTGTAGTTCAGTGGTAGGGTACATGTTTAGCATGCAGGAGGCCCTAGATTTGATCCCCAGGAACTCCCCACCATGACTACCCGTACGTTATATCAACCAAACTTTTAAGTTGAAAGCAACCTGTTTCAGTAGAAAAAAGGTGTCCTTAATCTTTACAGAGTACAAAATTGTCCTGATCTGGTATTACCACTCTGCCAGGGAATAATCAGGACCAGAAAAATAAGTATCCCCTTATAGCCCTCATTGGGTGAATCGTCCTGGCAGAGGAAGCAGTGGGCGAGCTCCATGACCAGCCTCACTCTGCTGCAGACTTACAATTTCTAGTTTTTCTTCTTCTTTCTTCTTTCAGTAGAACCCAAAGCTCTGAAGGCCTAGCTCCTTGGCATGGGTAGAGATGTCTGACCACCCCATCATTCTAGGGAGGCAAAGTCTGACACCAGCTTTGTGCCCTTGGACAAGTTACTTAACTCCTCTGTGCTGTTTCCCAGGCTACCAAATGAAAATAACAATGTGGGTAGCTAGCACTTGCAAGGACTAAAGGAGATGATACATATAACGCATTTAGCATAATCCAGGCCCAGGACACATCATTATTATTATTCTCTCCATCTCTGAGTCCAATTCAAAACCTCTCTATTGTTTTGCACAAGTCTCCACCCAGTGGCTCCACCCATTCAGGATTCACTCTTCCCAGCCCCCTCCTGCCTTACCTGTCTAAAGCTTGTTTGAAACAATGAATCACAGCACAATTCTGCAGCTCCCATCAATCACCTCCCTCCCTGCCTCTGCCTCTGAATGTCATTCTGGGGTCCTTCTGGAAGGGAAATCCTTTTCCTAATGTCCAGCGCAATCATTCAACAAATGTTTATGAAGGGCCTACTGTGTACCAGTCTTACAGGGACTCAGCAATTGTCAAAGCAAACCAAGCCAAAATAAGACGAGAGAAAGAAATCTATATATCCAAATCCACATATATCCAAGACCTCTGTGTAGGTCTACCAGTTCTAATCCACAAATGGAGATCATTTCAGATTTCTGGCCCTTCCCTATACCCCCATTCTTCCCCTCTGACCAATTCTAAATAAATCCAATAAGAAACTGAAGTATGAAGAAAGTATTACAGATTAAAAAAACAAAAAAGGTAATTTGGGAACATCTGATGACTAAACTTTCACCCCACTATACTGCTAGACTTTGAAGAAGTCAGTGATAACAAAGCCAGAAGCACCCAGTTGCCCAAATAGTCACACTGGCCAATCGAATTATCCAGGAGAGTGTATATAACACATCTTGAAAATACAAACACTGTTTACCAGCAGGGTGCTTTATTGGGGAACCCCAGCAATATCAGGGGCAGTGGCCTTGTGGAAGGAGCACTGGAAACAGATTCTGCAAGCTCAGGTTTGACTGCTGGGCCTGCTATGTACTTTGTGGTTCTGGAGCACTTTCCTGCCTCAGTTTCTTTTAAACAGTCTATAAGGTCCTCTTCCAGCTTTGAAGTCAAAGGGCTGGGTCAGCCATCATTCACTGAGACTCTGCAGATTCAGAGTCCATAATTCTATAAATTGAGTATTGCTTGTTGCAGACCCTGGCCAGGCATGTGAGATCTGGGGGTGATCAAACCAAGTGAGGAGCCTGCACAACGCATCAGTATTGGGGGGATAGTGAGCCTTCACCTGTTTCCTCTGAAATGCAACAAACTTTTTTTTTTTTTTTTAAATGGTGCTGGGGATTGAACCCAGGGCCTTGTGCATGCCATGCAAACACTCTACTAACTGAGCTATATCCCCAGCCCAACTCTTATTTATCTGATTCTAGAAAGAGGTTTACATTCCAGACCCTGTCTCTCTCCTTGTCTCTAGACAGAGCCTAAAATAAGTCTCCCAGGTAGGAAATGCCTGGTTGGGATGGAAGTGACCTAAGCACAGAACAAATGGCCCACCCACAGTGGAATGAAGACTCACCCAGGAACAGCTCTGAGAAGACAAGCAAAAGGCTTAGGAATGAGCCTCTGTTCCCACTTGAACTCACTGCAGCTCCTCCGCCCACACACAGGCAACCAGGCCAGACTGGAGGAAAAGAATATGACCCAAATGCCCATTCCCACTACCCAAAAGGAAGCAACTCTACCCCCAGTGTCCTCATGCAGTAAAGCCAGCTCTCCAAGATTACTGAAACACCAAGGTGGCCAGAGCTATAGGTGACAAGATTAGAGGTTCTGCTGAAAGACCAGCAGGTGCCTGGCACAGGGTTACATGTGGCCTGTGGCTGGAGGGGCAGCTGACAAAACCACCCGGAAAGCCATAGAAGACGATATTAACTTTAAAACAAATAAGAAAGGGATGGTTGTAAAAGGTCTCAAAAGTCAACAAGGCAGGTCCATCCCCTTTGACATGAATATATTCTAATATCTAATGACAGTTAAAAACCATTTTCTTCCTTTCTCCCACCAGGCCCCACTAGTTCTCTGAAGGCCCACAGTGAAGACATAATAGAGATGTAGGTCCCCTGCACTACACAACACACACACACACACACACATCACATACAAATACACGGGCCCTCTACTTGTCATAAGTGAACTTTGACTGTTTTTACTTACACTTGTACAAAGGCAGGGCCAAGAAGGCAGCTTCAAAGCTGGCTAGGTGACCCCCAAGAGCGCAAAGTCCTTGGCACACCTGTGGGGGAGTTTAGTGAGTGTCTCAGGTATCCACAGGGACTAGTCATGTCTTCTCTAGGTGGACACTGGTGGAGAGTTTCCATGATGAACAGAAATAAAGGCGCTCAAGATGCATTTAGCAGTTAGAGCACTAGACCCACAGCTCAAGAGCGGGCCAAGAGGAAGGATATCCCCTCACTGGCAGACCCGGCTCAGACCGGGAAGGATTCCACAGTGTCCCGGTGCAAGCGCACCCAGGCTGGTACTATGCCTTGCCGGAACCATCTCTGAGCGTGGAGATGTATTAATGACAGTTTCGGGTTAGTTAAAACCCACACAGGCACCTCCCAGACCTCTTAAATCTTCCCAAACTACAGTTCAGAGTGGAGGGAAGCAGTTGCAGGGACCATAAAAGTCATCTTAAAAGGCAAGTTGGAAAAAAAAAAAAAAACCGATACGCACTAGTTAACAAGTCCGCGGTTAGGGTGGCAGTAGCCAGGGGCCGATCTGTGGGATCTGCGCGCCTAGGGTGGGGATACTGGGGCTGCCCTGGCGGTCCCGGAGCCTCTTCGCCCACCTGGCAGCCTGGGCCCCCCACGATCTGACGCCGGCGATCACGCCCCACAGCTCCGTCCAATTAGGAAAATGACCGCGAGGAGACGGAAAGAGGGCGACGAGGAGGGGGGTTGAGCCACGGGAGGCTAAGGACCGACCGTGGGGACCCCACCCGCCATCCCCCCCACAGTCGACAATTGCCTTCAACAGGTTCCGGCCCCGGACGCAGTGATTCGGGTCGTGTGTGGGTCCCGCGGCGCCCAGCTCGAGGCGGGGGGCTGCCCTCGGGGGCGCCCCAGCACCCCCAGCTGCGCGCCCAGCCCTCCCCCACCACGGCCGGCGGGGACGCGCAGCAACCCCACCCGCTCGGAGAGTAAAGTTTGTGGGCAGCCGCAGGGGCGGGGCGGCGAGGGGGTGAAACTTTGAGTCCCGGGCTGGGTGCGGGGGGAGCGCACCGAGCGCCGGGACACCCACGTGCGGTCCGGAGCGCCACCGCCGCCGCCGCCCCGGCCTCCCTCTCCGCCGGCGCCGCGGCGCTTTCCTTTCATTTTTGCTTCTCTCTCCCTCTCTCTCTCATTCGCGCGCTCTCCTCGCTCTCGCCCTCTTTCGCTCTCTCTCTCCCTCCCTCCTTCCCTTCCCCCTCTCCCTCCTTTCCCTCCCCCCCCCCACCGGACGCCATCTCTCCCTCTTTCCCCGGCTCTCCCTCTCTCCCTCCAGCTCTCCGGCATGAGGGAATGTGGAAGTGAAAGGAAAAGACGACATGTTTGCAGCGCTGCGCGGGCCTGCGCGCGGCCGTCCCCGGGGAGAGGCGGGGGGCGGGTCGGCCGCGGCCGCAGCGACCCACCCCCGCGCCCCCCGCGCCCCAGCCGGCGGGCTGCTTGGGCTGCTGGGCCGGGGGCTGTGGGCCGCTCGGGACACTCACCCTGGGTCCGGGCGCGGCTCCTGCGCGGGGCCCTCGGCGGGCCGGGCCGGGCCGGGCCGGGGGCTCCTGCTGCCCACCGCCCGGGCTGCTGCTGCGCGCCCGCCTCCACGCGCGCCCGCCGCCTGCGCCTGCCGCCCTCCCTCCGGCTCCTCTCTTTCTCTCCCCCTCTCTCTCCCTCTCCTCTCTCGCTCGCTCTCTTGCTCGCGCTCTCTCCCTCCCTGGAAGAAGGGAATGAGGCAGGGCTGACGTGAAGGGATGCAAAACAGCTCCTCCTAACCCAGCTCGCAGAGGAAGAGAGACAGAAAAGCAGCCCTTTTATCTCTCTTTTGTTTTCTCACTTCCTTCCACCCCCCAACACCCCCTCCTGTCAGCCCAAGTTTTCTTTTTCTCTTTCTACCACAGAGAGGATTTTTCTTCCTTTCTTTCTCTTTCTCTCGGTTCAACTCTTCTACTCGAATTCAAAAGCCTGGAGGGTTTTTTCCCCTCTCTCTTTTCTTCCTTCTTCCTCCTTTCTTATTTCTCTAAAAGGGTTTTGTTTGCTGTGGGAGTTTCGTTTGAAAATCAAGTCACGCCTTTTTTTCCTTCTTTTCTCTCTCTCTCTTTTCTCTCCTCAGCAGAAAAGGGGAACAAAGATTAACGAGCGGGGGAGAAGGGAGCGTCAGAACCTCGCATGGAAATGGGGGGCCCTGCCCGGCACAAAGGGGCCCAGGGGCCCCGACCCCCCGGGAAGCCTGGGGGTCCCCCCCGAAGGGAGTCAGTGGGGTGGGGGTTAGCTCCTGGGTTCCGGATCCTTCTGAAGTACGGACTGGGAGCCCCGGGTCGGTGGTCCTCAGCCAGAGGTGGGAGGCTGGGTGTGTTCTTTACTCATATATTTATAAAGTAGGCAGATGGGCTTGGAGCAACATCCCCGCAGAGCTCGGAACAGTGAGAGAGCCTTGAAACAGCTGTTAGCAGAGCCCTGGACGGCCAGGACCGAGGGAGCGGCGCGGGCTGTGAGCGCCAGGCCGGGGCGGGAAGGGGTTCTGAGGAGTCGCAGGGATGGCCCCTCGCGGGCTCCCCAATCCCGGGGCCTGGGCCTCGGCCCGGGACGCACTTGCTGGGGGGCGCCGAGGCGTGGCCGTTCGCCGCACGCCGGTCGGGTCCCTGGCTGCTCCCCGCAGGGCCGCGGGGTCCGGCGCAGCTTGGCCTTCTCCCAGCTCTGGGGCAGGCCGGCCACCCGGCCTCCAACCTACAGAACCCGCGCCACTCAGAGCCGCTTCTCGACTCCGACGCAGGGCCGGTCCTGAGCCGGCGGGAGAGAGCCGCCACGAAGGGTCAATTATTCATGGAGCGCCTGGGCGTGCTCCCAAGACCTGCCCTGTCCTCGGCTTCTCCGGAGAAGTGGGGAGAAGACGGGGGAAAAGTTCCCAGAGCAAAGTTGGGCACATTTCTTATTTTCCCAAGTAAGTATTGAGCACCTGCTGGATGCCTGGCCCTTGGACTGGGGCTGCAACGGGGGCGGGAGGGAGAAACGTGAGGTCCTGATGGGCCCCCAAGAGTTTCCGCTGGAAACAATGCGAAGGAGGCTGCCGCTCAGGACCAGGTCACTGGGAAGAAGGAAAGCCTGGATCCTCTCCCCCCCACCCTCCTCTCTTCCTTCCCCTTCCCTTCCTCCTGGCTGCATCTTCTTGGCTCCACCCCTTCTCCTCATCAATTCCTCCCACACTTCCCTGCTCTCCCTGGCTTTTCACTGGAGGGTCCCTTCTCCCAGCGAGGAGCAGATGCTGAGCCCCATTGTCTCTCCCCCAATGACTGCAGTCTCCCAGGGACAGGACCTGCCACTCTTCACCCCTCCCCCAAGCCGGGAGGCCTGGGCCTTTAGAGACTGGAGACCCAAGGCCACTGCCCCTCGCCCCACCCTACACCAGCTCTTGGTGCTGTGAGCAATGACTCCAGTCACTCAGAACATGATTTATTTCTCACTAGGAGTGAGAAAACAGAAGCCAGAGAGTTTGCTTCAGCAAGAAAGACACCATGGTTTTGACATCGGCACATCGAGCCCCCAGTGACCCCAGAGCCTTCCTGCATGCCCTGTTAAGAGAGTGCCCAGTACACTCTTTTAATAGGGCCTGCAGGAAGTCACATTTCTGTCATTACCTGCTCCTTAGTACACTCAAACTGTATCCTTTAAACAAAGCAAAACACAGCTCTGGTAGTCACACATTCATTCAACAAATGCTTGTCAAGTACCTACTCTGCACCAACTAGTGTGCTGGTAGTAAGCACCTAACCATCAGCAAGATAGGATCCTTGCTATGGCTTTGCAGACAGCAGGGGAAGGAGCAAAAAAAAAAAAAAAACATAATGTACACAAGGGTAAACCAAAAAAACATCTAAAGGGGTACCTGACTTAGGGTATTCCCAGAAGGCTTCCTGGAGGAGGTTACATCTAGTTAAATGGACCTGTGTCAGACAGTGCATGGGAGGAAACAGCCTGTCCCCAGGGCAAGAGAGAAAGAACACTTTTACAGGTTCTTGGAATTGTTAATGAGTTCAAGTACTTGCTGCAGCCCAGAGTACTGTGGGGGGTGGGGGTGAGGATTGGTGTCAGGGCACAAGTGGGGGAGGGGAAGGGGAAATGTTCAAATTTTAGCCTTCCCACTTGCTAACTCCATGAACTTGAGTGACTATAACAGTGGCTCAGTTTCCGTACCTATAAAATAGGGGTAAGAAGACCTGTGGGTTGCAGAGAGGCTTTATGTTTAAGTGCCCAGGCTTGCTTGCTGAATATCCCTGGGCAACTGACCACTCTATGTCTAAGTTTTCTTGTCTGTAAAATGGGGATGAAGATACATGGTTCACAGAGTTCGTGAGGCTTAAACAAACCCATGCCTAAAATACAGGGTAGCTTCTGTTCACAATTACTATAAATGAGGGAGTGACAGGGAGATGCCCTTACAACCTGGATTTGAGATTATTGGTTTAAGTCAGAGTGACTCACCAGGCCAGAAACCCGATGAGCTGGCTGTGGAGGAAGCTTTCTTCAAAAATGCTCTGTGTCCCAGCAGGTAGCTGGACTGGGGAACACCCGCCTCTGTTTGAGACCTCAAAAACATGACCAGAAAAAAAAAATGACCAGAATGGATGTAGTTAAGAAGGTCAAACCTTCTTCTTTAGGAAGAAGGTGGGCCTTGTAAAATCCAGAAGGAGCAGGTACCTGGCTGTGTTTGCTCAGGTGAGAGTAGACATAGAAGTTGTGCTGGGTTTGTGTGTCAGAGAGGGGAGGGTACTGACTCCACCAGAGCCCATGTTAAATCTCTTAAAACTATTACTTGGGGTCCTGGTTTTCCAAACAACCTGCAGATGAACTTCACACTAGCAAAATGCCCCCTGGATCCAGGCAGACACCAGTGTTCCAGTTCTTGTGTTGTAAACATTCTACACTTCTATTATTTCTTTATAGCACAAATTCATTGTGAAAGAATTTGAAAATCAACTAAGCAAAACTGGAAAAGAACCACATACAGAGACATTATGTTTTGGCATATAACCTTGGACCTTTTATATCCCCATATCTACATGTAAATGCCCATAATAAAACTATACATAATGTTGCTAAACAAATGAATATATATGTAAATGTTTTTTTTACAGAATAAAAAATTTGGCATAACATCATACCTATTAAAATGCAATCATTTTTACCAGCTAATATGTCACATATATTTCCTATCTATAAACATCTACATTATCCTTAGTAAATATTAATCTGTGGTATGCATATATCTTAATTTTTTTATTTTAATTATTATTATTATTATTTGGTGGTACTGGGTATTGAACTAAGGGGTGCTTTACCACAGAGATACATTCCCAGCCCTTATTATTTTTTATTTTGAGACAGGGTCTTGCTAAATTGCCCAAGCTATCCTTGAACTTGAGATCCTACTGTCTCAGTTTTCCAGGTCAATGTGATTACAGGCATGTGCCACTATACTCAGCTCAGATTTTCACTTTTCTGACACTTACGATGAACATTCTTTTCTTTCTTTTTTTGGTACCAAGGATAGAACCTAGGGACACTTAACCACTGAGCCACATATCCAGCCCCTTTTATTTTTTATTTTGAGACAGGGTCTCACTAAATTGTTGAGGCTGTCTTTGGATTTGCAATCTTCCTGCCTCCACTTCCTGAGCTGCTGGGATTACAAGGGTATACTACCGCGCCCAGCAGGTAAACATTTTTGTACAGTCTCCTTTGTACCAGGCTAGGATAATACTTTATGTGAGGTAGGTGTCATCATTTTACAGATAAGGAAACTGAGGTCCCAAAATCTTAAAAACTTCCGGAGGTCAACAACCATGGCATGACTGAGGCAGAATTTGCAGCCAGGGTTTCCAGTTGGGAGTTTCCTTTCAGCATTTCTGCTTCCCACTTTTCTTTGAAGACACCCCCCTCTTCGGGATCCTTCCCACTATCTTTCTCTCTTGAATACTTCCTTCCTATGAAAACCTGTTGGACAGGAGACCAACTTCTTTCTCTGACACCTTATTAACTTCAGTGTTGCCCACTTCCTGGGGTTGTAAGGAATGAAAGCAGGTAATATGTGACATAAAATACATGATCCTGTATTTTGCAAGTTATAAAGCCTATGTGAATGTTAAGAATAAAGGCCTAAGCTCATAGACATCACATTTAGCCAAATCCCCTGACTTACCCAAACCCAGGAGGGAATCTTCCTCATTCACTTTAGAGAAAAAGAAATCTGTTTTGAAACACAGCAGTAATGGAGGCCTCTCTTGGGCATTTCAGAAACCCCACAGTTGCCCCCCAGAGCTGAAATTTGAAGGTAGGTTTGTTATAAGATTTATTAATCTTCATTATCTCCCTGAGGGAGGATGTATTTATGATACAGACCTTCCAGAATGTTCACATCCATCTTTGAAAATCTAAGAAATCTTGTAAGCTGAGAAAGGAATGAAACACAGCTCTTCAACATTTCCATCAACATGTTCACCAGAATAACTCTGCTGGGAGATTAGCAGGTGATTATTAAAATCTGGGTTTTTTTTCCCACTGGCAGAATCAAACAAACATTTTAGAAGATATCAATGGCTTTGTATCATTTGATATTTAATTTTTAATATCAAGCCCTTAACTGAAATGCAGACAATGAGAGAAGAGACTCCAGTTGAACTATAGACACCCTGCAGCAAGCACAGTTTGGCTTGGGCTATAAAATGGGTTGGTCAGAATCTGGGAATCCCTTTGAACCCAAGGCCTTGTGCCTGGGAGGCAAGCACTCTACCAACTGAGCTACATCCCCAGCCCTTCACTTAGTTCTTAAAGTCACCAAGAGCTAAGTTAATGACACAGAAATTAAAAATCCTCAGAACTACAGTAATAGTTTAGGAATCCTCATGGTTTTAGGGGGAAACCCAAAGAAAGCAAAAGTCTGTATGGATAGAGGGAATAAGCATATGGTATTTGAAAATGGTTTTCCAAGCTGCATTGACAAGGGACATCAAATAATCCACTTCCTCTAACCACCCACTTGTGATTAAGGGTGCATGATTTTTTTGGTTTGTTTGTACAGTTCTGAAGCCAGATGTACAGATAGGTAGTTATTGTAGTTAGGTAAATCTGGTCTAATATCGAGTAAGATAGATAAAATGGAGGCCATTATAGAGAATGGAGTCCAGGAAACCAGAGCAGCCTTGGGGAAATTGAAATGTTAATGTCCCCAAGGCCCTGAGCCCACCCTAAGGAAATGTTAATGAAGCAGCTCCCAGCAACAGGAAAATGCTAATCAAAAGCTGCCCAGGCCATTCCTGCCCAGACTATTCCTTCGGCACACCTATCTCCCACCTTTTGGGCCTTCCCACCTGCATTCCATCACTGAAAGATATAGGGAAACAAAGACATGAGTGTGGGAAAGACGAAAGAAGACCTTAGCTATAAAAAAGGGAAGACCTCCCCCTTCCACGGATTCTGCCTTTTGGGTCCCCTTCTTCCTCCGGGGAGAAGTCCTTTCTGCTGTCCTTTAATAAAGCTACTTTCCACTCTAAACTTGCCTCGCGTGCTTCTTTGGTGTTATAATTCAGCATTCAGGGAAGCAAGGACTCCTCACTCGTCTCGGGTAAACAGTGGTAACAGTTCATTGAACCCAGGGGCACTTAACCACTGAGCCACATCCCTAACCCTTTTTTATACTTTATTTAGAGACAAGGTCTCACTAAATTGCTTGGGGCCTTGCTAAATTTCTGAGGCTGACTTTGAACTCACGATCCTCCAGCCTCAGCCTCCTAAGAGTTGCTGGGATTATAGGCATGTGCCACCACACCCAGCCGAAATCAAGTTTTTGAAGAATATTTATTGACAGGAAATGTTTGTAACATACTAATTTGATACAAAATTGTATATGCATCAGAATTATATTTTTTCAGATTTTTATATACTTGTATATTTATCCAGAAAAATACATATAAAATGCCTGAAAGGAAATAAAAGTTGTTTGTTTGTTGGAATTATGAGTGATCTTTGTTTTCTTCTTTATTTTTAGTGTATTTGTCAAATTTCTTTAATGATTATGTGTGTTTTTCTTCTTCCTTGATCAAACTCTATTTCTTTGCTTTTTTCCCCCTTCAGCTTTATTAAGGTATAATTGGCATACAAAAGGCACACCTAATTAACCCGTAAAATTTTGTGAGTTTTTACATATGTAAATAACATATGTTGCAATCACCACAATTAAGGTGACCAGTGTAAACATTGCTTGCAAAAGTTTCCTTATGTCTCTGTGTTGTTCTATTTTGTTTGTGTAGTAAGAGTAATTATATTATTATCATTATTATTATTAGTAGTAATAGTACTGGCAATTGAACTCAGCAGTACTTTACCAGTGAACTACATCTTGATTTTGTATTTGTTACATATTTATATTATTTATTTATTTATTTCGTACCAGGGTTACTTTACCACTGAGCTACATCCCCAGTCTTTATTTTTTATTTTAACATAGGGTCTTGTTAAATTGCTGAGACTGGCCTTGAACTTGTGATCCTTCTATCTTAGCCTCCTCCGCACCTGGCTTTTTTTCTTTCTTTTTTTTTTTTAATTTTGAAACAGGGTCTCAATAAATTGCTTAGAGCCTCACTAAGTTGCCTAGGCTGGCCTTGAGCTTTTGCAATCCTCCTGCCTCAGCCTCCTGAGTTGCTGGGTTTACTGGCATGTGCTACTGTTCCCAGCCCTGATTACATTAATTTTAAACCTTTACTTAGAGGTTTTAGCCTTCTTATTCATTTCACAATCAGTGGTGCAAAGACCCCAGCCAAGACTTCAAGCAGGTTCCAGTTGAAAGAGAAACAGCCATGCAAAGACATTAAGCTGCAGAAGGCAATTATTTCTCTTTCCTTGGAAATGTTTGAAGAACTAGGAGGAAAGAGGAACTAGGTTTTGGTTGCTGATGATTTGGGCTCTGGGTTGAATAGACTATCTATTGTGAAAGTGTATTGTGCAAAAAGAGAATAGAGCTTTTTGTGAAGGGAGATAAAGAGGGTGTAGGGTGGGAACAGGGAGGATGGGGGAGGAGGCAGGGCTGGGCAGATCCCTGAGAAAGGCCTAGAAGCACTTGTCCTGTGGGTGGATTTCAGACAGAGATGACCTAAAGGTCCCTACAATTTGTCCCCCCAAGCCTGCCTCCTGATCTCTGTATGCTCCCTAGCCTGCCTCTGGGTCTCAGTGTGCAGGTCCAGCCCTGTACCTGGTGCTGTGTTCATATGGACTGAGTAAATGGTTATTGTCTATGAAACTAGATGAAAAAATTAGTATGTAACATTAGGGATCAATCCTGAGTTTCCTTTTTTTGTGGTACTGGGGTTTGAGCGGGGGCAGGGGGGCGGGGGCTCCCACATGCTAGGCAAGTGTGTACCACTGGGCTATACCCTCAGCCTCTCCTAAATTTCCTTTGAAGCATTAATGGAAGTGGCTGAAAAACAAAGCCTCTTTTGTGAAGCTGTAATGATGGGCAAACTCCAGGGGAATTTATAGCCTTCCCACCAAGGCAGCAGGTGGGATGTGGGTTGTATCTACCACAGGGACCTGGGTTAAAGTTCAAATGTGACAGTGACTGAAATCTAAGGAGCCCTTGGCTGTACTGACTCGCCAGCTGGGTGACCTTGGTCAGATGCAGATTCTGAATGCTCCACTAAAGACTATTAGGGTGACCTATGTTCATTGAGAGGCTCCAAAGAGATAAAACATAGGACAATGCACATGGACAAGAAAGAGAATCTGCAAACAGAAGGAACTACTAATGTCTGTGTTAATACCATCCTGATTGGAGGGGGTGGGGAGTGGAAAAGGGTGCACGGACCCCATCGGGCTGTGCTATGTTGACTCTTCAGATGGGAATTCTCTTTTTGGTCCCCTCCCTTTGTCTTTATTCTTTATTCAATCAACAAACACTTACTGAGCACCCCCCAACATGCTGGCCACCCTCCAGGGTCTTCTGGGCAATGGAAGATGATAGATGTAAGGCTGGTGCTGACTTATTACATAAGAGCAGAAGCGGGAGTTCCCAGCTGTTCTCTGTGGGAAGCCTTCCTGTAAGAAGAAGGTGCTAGAAATGGAACCCATGACCTCACTTATGCTAGAAAAGTGCTCTACGACTGAGCCACAACCCCAGCTCAGAGTTTTGAAACTCAAGTGAGAACTTGTTCAGCAAAGCAAGGGGGATCCCGTGTATAGCAGGGAAAGACTTCAGAAATGTGTTAGTTAGCTTCATGAGCCCAGTTTCCTGTTCTGAAGACCCTGCCTCATCATCAAATGAGGAAAGACATACAAAGTGATGAGGAGACCACAGTAAATTCCACCTTTTATGTATATCTATAAAGCACCAGTTAAAAAGCAACAAATAAACTGAAGGAAGACCAGTGGCATTGAGTAAGGGAAACAGGGGAGGGAAGAGGAGAGAGAGGAGGGGAAGGAAAGAGGAAGTTTTAGAGACTGAAATGGTGCAAATTATATTCCATGCATGTATGATTATGTCAAAATGAACCCCACTCTTATGTATAACAATAATATACTAATAAAAACATTTTTTTTTTTTTAAAAAGATACACAAAATGCCCAGCACAGTGCTGGCCTGTAGTAGGTACTGGAAAGCTGATTCTTGTTCCAGAACTATCAAAATCAGTTCCTCTCTAAAGTTTACTTCCTGTTCACATTTTACTTTTTTTCTCACTTTCCTCTAGATATCTTGCCCTTTGGCCTGGGACCTTAAGTTACCCAGTCTTCTTCAAAATCTGCAAACTAACTCTAATCACAGGTCATATTTCCCACCAAAAAGACGATTTTAATAAATTTGAAAATACATGTGTCATCTAGACCACATTACCTGTTTGCAAAAATGCTAAAGCTAGAAATTAATATTACGAATCAGCTATGAAAATTCTCCAAAGCAGCTTTTGGATTAAAGAGGAAATCAAGAAAAGAGTGTTAAAAAAAAAAAAAGGAGGAGAAGGAGGAAAAAGAAGAAAGTGTTGCTGGGCATGTGGTGGCATATGCCTCCAATCCCAGAGACTCAACAAGAGGACTGAAAATTTGCAAGAGGAATACAAATTGGAGGCCAGTCTCAGCAATTTAGTGAGACCCTGTCTCAAAATAAAAAATAAAAAGGGTGGGGGATATAGCTAGTGGTAGAATACCCCTGGGTTCCATTCCCAGTGCAAAAACAAAACAAAGCAAAATGCAAATAAAGATGGGGAAGGAAGTGCCAGGCATGATGGTGCACGCCTGTAATCCCAGCAGCTCCATGAGTTCAAAGCCAGCCTCAGCAATGGCAAGGCGCTAAGCAACTCAGTGAGATCCTGTCTCTAAATAAAAATACAAAATAGAGCTGGGGTTGTGGCTCAGTGGTTGAGTGACCCTGAGTTCAATCCCAGGTACAAAAAAAAAAAAGATGGAGAAGGAAAAAAAAATCATAATAAATTATAAAATAGAAAAGAAATAGAATTAACACACAGGTTCTTTTTGTAAAAACAAGGACTAAAAAATACAATTCATGAACATAATGAAAAAAACAGAAACAAACACCATTTTCGGTGAAATGGTAGTTATGATAACGGAAATATGATAACAGATTGATATTAAAAATGTAAAGGCTTAGGGCCTGGGGTTGTGCCTCAGTGGTAGAGTGCTCGCCTGGGATGCGTCAGGAAATGGGTTCCATCCTCAGCACCACATAAAAATGAATAAATAAAATAAAGGTATTGTCCATCTACAATTAAAAAATATTTTTTAAAAATTTTTAAAAATGTAAAGGGGTATATGAAATTGCTGACAAATTTAAGAACCTTAATAAAATGATAATTTTATGAAACATATAATAGTAACGTTTCTATTTTAGACAGAATCAGAAAATTCAAACTATCTTCTTCAGATTCTGCCCAAACACACCCTGGACAGAGACCTCCCTGACTGTCTTTGTTTATTTTTCTCTCCAGCACTTCTTCCCATCTCATATGACATGTGCCTAATTTTTTACTTGCTTGCCTTCTTCTCTCACTACTAGAATATGAACTTCTTGAGAAGCAAACTGTTTTTTATTTTTCTTATAACACTTTTTATTTTGAGATTATTGTGTTTTTCAAATTAAGTTTTATTTTGAGGTAATTGTAAGAAAACTGTTTTGCTCATTGCTGCATATCTCTCCTGCACAGAAGTGGGCCTGGCACATAGTAGTCACTTAAAATAAATACAAGTTTGTGGCTGGGGGTGAAGCTCAATGAAAGAGTGCTTGCCTAGCATATGCAAGGGCCCTGGGTTCAATCCCTAGTACTGCAAAAAATGAAACACATAAATGTGGATTTAATGAAAAAAGTAATTGAGGAAGAATTTAAGAAAGGTTATCCAGGAACATTGTTTCCCCAAAGCTCTGAATCCAGATGGTTTTACTGGGGAAGGAGGACATTTTAAAAGTTTTGAGGCAGCTGGGTACAATGACATTGTCCTATAATCCAGTGACTCTGGAGGCTGAGGCAGAAGGATCACAAATTCACAACTAGCTTCAGCAACTTATCGAGGCCCTAAGAAACTTAGTGAGATCCTGTCTCAAAATAAAAAATAAAAAGGGCTGGGGATGTAGCTCAGTGGTATGGTACCACTGGGTTCAATCCCCAGTACCCAAAATAAATATTTAAATAAAATAAAAAACATTTGAGGCAAGAGTAACCCCATATTATATAAATCAATACAGAGTGTAGCATTTCCATATGAAGAAAACTATAGGGTTCCCTCCCACGGGGGGCGGGGGGATATAAAAGAACTGAATATGGAGAGACATAATCTATACCTGATGCAAAGGCTAA